CAGTACAATTTATAAACACCTCAGGAAATGCATCCCTATTTATCCTCATTGTTTATGTGCGTGATCACGCGCGCATAGCTTTTGTACGCGCCATTTTGTGACATACCCTGGACGTAATTGAGAGACACATTAATTGAGAAATCATCACTAGTAGTCGATCCCACAATCCAAGACATCTCGAAGAAAAGTAATTTCATCTGAAGTTTAATTCCAGCTGAAATAAAATATAAACCTCGGTCATGTTTTGTCTGACATATATTTATCTCCTTTATATCTCTCTTTCTTTCTTTCTTTCTTTCTTTCTTTCTTTGGAGTTGTGTATCTGTTTCTTTTCGTGGGTATTTTACATCACTCCTTTCGCTTTGATCGCAGATCGCTGGAGAGGGAAAGAAAGTGGTCACTTTGTAGTTTGTCAGCGCGACAGATTTTTGCATGTGAACTTCATTTTGCACACTACCGCTCAATTTTTAAATACAAAAACTTATATATATATATATATATATATATATATATATATATATATATAAATATATGAAGAAATATAGTCTTAATATGTACTATATTTATATGATAAAGTGCTCAATATCAGAGATAGAGCGTATGTAAATATAGAAGTGAACATAGAAGTCAACACTTAGAGGCGACAGTCTGTTTCATGCTAGATGCAATCGTCAGGCCATATATATATATATATATATATATATATATATATATATATATATATACTATATACGCGGTACTTAGTGGAAAACTCTCAATATCAGTGATAGAGCTAACATAATAAGTTGTTTGACAATACTGATGAAAGCAAAAGTGTGAAACCTGGGATCAAAAGCACATATCCACACAACTATATATATATATATATATATATATATATATATATATATATATATATATAAAAAAATATAGTCTTAAGGTGTGCTATATTTATGATAAAGTGCTCAATATCAGAGATAGAGCGTGTGTAAATATAAAAGTGAACATAGAAGTCAACACTTAGAGGCGACAGTCTGTTTCATGCTATATGCAATCGTCAGGCCACATATGCTGTAATAGCTGAGAAAATAACAGCATATGTGGCCTGACGATTGATATAGTATGAAACAGACTGTCGCCCCTATGTTGACTTTATGTTCACTTTTATATATATATATATATATATATATATATATATATATATATATATATATATATATATATATATATATATTGAAAACGTCTATCAAGGTACTCCGGTTAAGTTATTTAATTTTTCTTAAATAAATTTTACACAACTTGTCTGAAATTCTCTGTGTGCAAGCGCTTTCGACTATACTTTTAGACATTATGACGGATACTTTTATTTTTACTTTCAACTGAATGTATGGATTGTTTTATGCATGGAGCGTTAAAGATACGAAACTGTTAGCATAGAATTTACAGTTGCATCTTGACAATTCACCTGTAAATTGATGAAGCCTTGTTCCCACTCTAGTACATCGTTTAACCTCATAAAGACTTAGTGCCAGAGCAAAGAGCTCATCCGAACAATTACTATGGAATTATTTATAGATAAACCAGAGAGGCAACCTTACGACCATCGAAAAGTGACTGAAGACGAGCTGCCAGATCATGACCAATAATATTGCTGATTCTTCTTTTGGATTTTATCAAGGAGCTCAAGGTAAATAGCAGATGGGCCGACCATATGTGGCAGCAATATTTTAAGCATGGACGAATGGTACATTTACAGATATATATATATTGATAGTCTCTTCATCCTCCCCCATCTCTAGCGACAGACAAAATGAGAATAGAAAAGAAAGCAATTAAGTAGTGGTGTTACAGTCTTGATTAATTTATGAAATATTTGTCCACAGCTAGGTACGGCCATCTATCGTATTTGCAATCTGATTGGTCATTCCGGTGACAACGAATCCTGATAAGGAATTTCATTTGCCTACCTACCTTAAAGTTAAACTGCTGTGACAAGACGAAATTAATTTTCCGCATATTTTGTAATATAGCAGGAGGTGTCACGACGTATGGTAAAACTCTCTTCCGATTCCAAGCTTTCCAGTCAAATTTAATCTTCAAAACTTTAAACGCAATGTCAATCGCTATCTACTGCCCTCCCGATTGCTCTTCTTTTGTTCACACTCCTTGTCAACGTTTCTCTTCTCCAATTCTTCCACACCCAGCACCCATTTGTGTCATAGTGGCTTTACTGCCTTGCTTGGTAAGAACTAGATAAAAAAAATAATAATAAAGACAAATAAAATAATTTACAAAGATATGCCTCTCCCCTATCATCACTGATAGACTCAAGAGGCTAGAAAAAAGTTTTAAGTGAAAAAAAATGCTAGTCTCTGACTAACATCTATGAAAAAATTTGTTTGCAATCAATTATTAAAGATCCATGATTAGCAGCCCAGAAAGGGATTATGCAACGTTAGTCGCGCTAAAGGAACTAGGATTAACAGACGACCAAATTCCCCTAATGAGAAGCTGAGTTTAACGTTCATTACGCCATAAGGGAACTACTTAGGACTACATAGAGACTTGGAGGTATTATGGTGGCTGTAACTTTCTAGTTCGGACTACATAGAGACTTGGAGGCATTATGGTGGCTGTAACTTTCTACTTAGGACAACATAGAGAATTTGAGGTATTATGGTGGCTATAACCTTCTAGTTAGGAATACATAGAGAGTCTGAGGTATTATGGTGGTAAAACTTTCTAGTTAAGACTACATGGAAACTTGGAGGTATTATGGTGACTGTAACTTTCTAGTTCGGACTACATAGAGACTCGGAGGTATTATGGTGGCTGTAACTTTTTAGTTAGGACTACAGAGAGAACTTGAGGTATTATGGTGGCTATAACTTTCTAGTTAAGACTACATGGAAACTTGGAGGTATTATGGTGGCTGTAACTTTCTAGTTAAGACTACATAGAGACTTGAGGTATTACGGTGGCTGTAAATTTCTAGTTAAGACTACATAGAGACTTGAGGTATTACGGTGGCTATAACTTTCTAGTTAAGACTACATAGAGACTTGAGGTATTACGGTGGCTGTAACTTTTTAGACATTTCTTGACAAGTTTCACTGCTGTACTTTTTTTGTCTTAATATTTTCTTAAGTTTTTTATCATTATCGCGATATGGCAACGACGAAAATTCGGATGCTAATTAAAATAAGTTTGATAATTAAAATAATAGATTGTAAATGAATTTATGAAATGAATTAAAGAAAAGACATCACTCAAACCAGAACGAAACGAAAGAAGTGTTGGTTTCCGATTGTGCAGGAAAGGCCTTTTTTTCTGCTTCTGCGCATATTAATGGCGTATAAATGATTTTAAATTGGTTATCAATTGAGCTTACTTTAATCTGACACAAGGACACAAACAGAGAGGATCGAACAAACGACTACCGAATTAATTTATATGACGAAACTTATGTATAACATATATATTTATATTATGCACCACATACAGAATTATTCTCGTATCCACAGTCTGTCTGTCTATCTATCTATCTATCTATCTATCTATCTATCTATCTATCTATCTATCTATCTATCGATCTATCTATCTCATTCTATTCTGATCTATCTATCTATCTATCTATCTATCTATCTATCTATCGTTCTTATTCTTTTCATAATATGTGTGCGTGTACACACACACGCGTGCGCACATACACGCATATATATAAATATGTATATATATGCATCTATACGATATTTTTACTGTTTGCTATCTCTGGCGTATATATATATATATATATATATATATATATATATATATATATATATATATATCAGTGGTCAATATATATATATATATATATATATATATATATATATATATGGTCTATATATATATATATATATATATATATATATATATATATATATATATATATATATAATTTAAGAGGATAGAATCCAGATAAAACTCAATGTCCAGGGAAAAGTAAGAATATAACATAAAAGGCACAAACACTAACATTCCATGGTTATAATTTATTACATTGGGAGTATACGATTGGTGTATACGGAATAAATTCCAATAACCAAAAAATACTATTCTTAAAAGAGTGCTCAATACAGAGTAGAGCAAATATAATTATTTATTCGAAAATTATACCATAAATATGTTATAAAATCACTACCAAAATAGACTTTTTGTTTCAACACTTCTGGTGTCTTAACAAGTGATGGTGTTAAACACCATCACTTGGTGAGTCACCAGCTGTTTTAAAGCGACTAAAGGAAAAAAGTTAAGTGAGAGTTACTTTCAGCCGGACATATTGAAAGAAAGTGTCTGTTGATGGTGTTTTATACGTGAGAGGCAAGTGTTATGAAGAATAGCCGCCGGCTTCTCCACAGACGCAATTCCTTTTGTCACTTCAGTGATGGCAAGATAGAAATCCTGCCTAAAGTTGTTGGCCGTTGTCATTGAAGTCACGATACGAGGAGGAAAGATAAAACATGGGACCAAGTGTTTGGTTTACTATTTGCCATGAATTTTATCTTCCATTTCGTACTGATTCTATTTTATTCACAGCAGTTAATCATCCATTCTTATCTATATATCTATCTATCTAGCTAGCTAGCTCTTTATCACAGTCTGTTCGTAGGTACCCACCTACCGACATAGCTATATATCTGTCTTGAAATCTAGCTGTATATTTTTATTATTTATTTATTGTTTTCTTTTCTTTCATTTTTTCACTTCGTATTGTTTTTTTGTTTCTTTTTTTGCAAATATCTTTTTCAAAATTTTTTCGTTTCTTTCCCATTACCGCCTGTCTTTCATCTTTCCCCCTATCACATTCCATTAAAGCCTCTCGTCTGTGTCCTATCTACTTAGTCAACCTTCCACTATCCTCGTTACGATCAGAATCATCATTTCCAGACAATTCCTCAGCAGACTTTAAAACATTTTTGCGCAAAAGAAATAGCTTAACGTTCCTAACTGATATTTCACTGCAAGTTTCTCCACAATAA